AAAAAATTTTTAAATATTATATTAAAAGTTCTATTAATAAAGGTAAAAATGAAGAAATCAATATATTAATATTAATAACTTCTGATAATAAAAAAGATGCTAATTAGTATGATGAAAAGATCCCAAAGGGTGGGATATATACATCTGACAAAAGAATTTTATTCAGAATGTATAAAAAGCTCTACACACAGAGATGTAATTGTCCCTCATTGATAAAATTCTTCACTGGACACTTCACAAAATGATATTCAAATGTAAACAAGCATACAAGAAAGTGCTCAATTTTATTATTCATCAGAGAAATACAAGTTAAAACACAAGCCACTACATACCCACCAGAACAGGTACCATAAAAAAGACAGACAATGCTAAATGTTAGTGAAATGGGAATCCACTGAAACTTACAAAATACAGCTGCAATATACACTTATTTAGCCACTTCAGAAAATAATTTGTTAGTATGTATTAAGAGTGTACATAGACAAAATCATCTGCAAGCCCATGTCTGTTTATACACAAGGACATTCATAGACTTATTTCCCAAAAGATATGAACAAAGTTTCTCATAGCATGTATTATTCTTAATAATCCTAACCTAGGCTATTTTTAAATATTAAACATGGGACAATAAACATATAAAAACTAAATAAAATTAAATAATAACAATAATATAGATATAACTTTGGAATATTCAATATCACAGAGATACTATTTCTCTCTAAATTAATTTAAAAATCTTAATCTAATTTCAGTTGTATATTGATGAAATTCTAAAAGCTACTCCTAAAATGTATTGGGAAGAATTAGTGCATGAGTACAGCCAAACAAATTTCGGCAAAGAGGAATATGAGAGGACCTTGATTAAATATATATTAAAATAATATAAAGTGATAGTAATTTAAAGAGAATGTTGCTGATACAGAAATTAAAAATAAAGCAATTTAAGAGAATAGAAATTTCAGAAGAAGGTTTTTCATAAATATGCATATACTATGTAATAAATAATACAAGTCATATAATTGAAAGAAAATGGACAATTGTTATCTCAACATGAGACAATGTTGAGATAACTGGCTATTCATTTTAGGAAAATATTATAAACATATTTCATAATAGAGGCAGAGGTAAATCCCAGAAGAGTTAAAGTTTTAAGGTTAAAGCTATATGCTTCTAATTTCTGCTAATGTTGTCTCAATTAATAAGATCCATTTTAGTGCTGAAAATATTTAAATATGCTGGATAAATTTTTTAAAATCTTAGCATAAAATGGCTGAAATACATCCTGAGCTCAAAATATACTAAGGTCAACTACTATGTATAAAATAGATAAGCAACAAGGATATATTGTACAGCACAGAGAACTATAGCCATTATTTTGTAGTAACTTTGAATGGAGTATAATCTATGAAAATATTGAATCACTATGTTGTACATTTGAAACTAATATTTTATTGTAAATCAACTATAAACTTTATTTTTATATATATGCACGCACACACACACACACACACACACACATAAGGTCAAAACTAAATAGGAAATTGGGACACAACTGCATTTTTTTTTTCCTAAAGGGGATTTAGCCTCTTTTTTTTTCCCCCTAAGGGGCATTACCAAATCTCAGTAAATTAAGACTCTGGTTCTGATTACCTCCCAGGGTAAAAGAATATAAATCAAAACCCTGAGCCCAGGCTGGGGATTCAACTCATTATAAAATGAAGTAGTAATCCAAAGTAATATACTGTCAGTGGAAGCAAGAACCAGAATTAAACCAGCCACCATGCAAATTTACAGCGTGTGTTCACATATTCTGAAAGGTCAAAGAAGCATAAGCTATCAAATTGTTTTAAAGCAGCTCCAGATTGCTAAGGCCTTTAAGGAGCACAGCGGACACGGTCAGGCAAACACTATACAAATGGATTCTGAAATGGTCAACATAAGGTCGAACATACTACTGGGTGCAGAGAAAAACTGAGAACAATAAACAGAAATGACAGTCAGGAGAAACAGACAGGTGAAAATTTCAAATACTGGAACCAATGGATGTAGATTATTAAAAATGTAAAACTATATTAACTACATCTAAAAATAAAAGAAAAATTTTGGAAAACTACTAAAAGAAAGGCAAAATTACAGAAACTATCATGAAGATTGGGAAAAGAACCAGTCAGTATTTCTAAAAATAAAAACTCATTAGCAGAAATATGAAATAACCCAAATTTAAGGTAAATATATAGGAGGAGTTTTGGTTTCACTGAGGCAGTGCAAGTTCTCCAGAGTGCATCTCTGTCCCTTACTATAACTGAGCTTTAGCAAATACACACACGCATGCATACAAAGAAACAAAAAATCAAGCTATTTAAAGAATGGGATATTTAAGGCAGGTAAGCTGTGGAAAAGAGTCAAACGTTGAGAAGCAACCCTCAAAGGATGAGTTTTCTGTTTTTTGTTTCTGTTTTTTCCTTCTCGAGGCTTGACTTGTGTCTTGGGCTCCAGCCACAGTGGTGTCTGCAACTAGAACATGATAGAATTCCCTCCCTGTTTATGACCAAAGGGAAACACTGAAAGGCCCTCAGGCAAGCAGGAGTGTGAGCAGGAAACACTAGAGAGGAGAAGCCAGAAAAAGGGGTCCCCTAATTCTTTTTACAGGTGAGCCTCGGAGGTACTGCAGGTTCAGTTCCAGACCACCGAAATAAAACGCAGTAAAATGAGTCACACAAATTTTTTGATTTCCCAGGGCATATAAAAGCTATGTGTAAACTATACTGTAGTCCATTAAGTGTGCAATAGCATTATGTCTTTAAAAAAAGTACATACCTTAATTTAAAAATACTTCATTGCTAAAAAATTGCTAACTATCATCTGAAACTTCAGTGAGTTTGTAATAGTAGCATTAAAGATAACTGATCACAGATCACCAAAAAAAATATAATAATAATGAAAAATTTTGAAATTTTGTGAGAATTACCAAAGTGTGACATAGAGACAGGAAGTGAGCAAATGCTTTTGGGGAAAAAATGGTGCCAATAGACTTGTTTCAGGTAGGGTTGGCACAAATGTTTAATTTGTAGGGAAAAAAAATGCAGTATCTGTAAAGTGCAATAAAATGAGGTATGCTTATACATGTATTCATGCATGTCACAGCCTAATCCCTAAAACACATACGCATGGAACAAACCAAAGCTAGCCTAAGAAAGTGAGAACTAAACTGAGACTTGAATTAACCACACAGTTTCAGTCTAATCCCTGACTATACATCCTTTTGGACAAACCTAAACCGGCATAGCAAACGCTGTGAGAATGGAATTGCTATCTGAACCACTGTCCATAGAGTTTATATAGAAGTTACTGACTTCTGAATATTTCGATTTTTTTTTTTTTACTTTACAGAAATTATAAAACAGTTTTCCAAAGTTTCTGACTGGATCATATTCCTCCTACCAGAAGAATCTCTGTTAATACTATTTGTGATTCAGACATACTAGTTCTCTCTGTCTTTATTTTCCTCCAAATATATTTTGCTTTTATTTTTTAGTACAGAATTATAGTATGAGTGATTTTTCTTTCAACATTTGACATTTCTTTATACTTCTATAATTTCTATCTTTGTTCCTTTCTATACAATGTGTCTTTTTTCCTCTGGCTGCTGTCAAGATTTTCTCTTTATCTTTCTTTAATTTTCAGCTGCTTGAATATAATCTGTCTTTTTTTTTAGCACTCTTATAAGACTTAGCCTCAAGAAGCATAGAAATTGCACAGGCATACCTCGGAAATATTGTGGGTTCTGTTCCAGACCACCACAATAACGTGCACATCACAATAAAGAGAGTCACATGAAATTTTTGGTTTCCCAGTGCATATTAAAACTATGTTTACACCATGTTGTAGTATATTAAGTGTGTAATAGCATTATGTCTAAAAAGTCAATGTACATACCTTAATTAAAAATACTTCATTACTAAAATATGCTAACCATTATCTGAGCCTTCAACAAGTTGTAATCTTTTTGCTGGTGGAGGGTCTTCCCTCAATGTTGATGGCTGCTGACTGATCAGAGTGGTAGCTGCTGAAAGCTGGGGCCACTGTGTCAATTTCTTAAAGCAAGACAACAATGAAGTTTGCCACATCAATTGACTCTTCCTTTCACTAACAGTTTCTCTGTAGCACATAATACGCTTTGGTAGCATTTTCCCCACAGTAGAATTTCGTTCAAATTGGAGTCAATTCACTCAAATTCTGCCTTTGCTTTATCAACTAAATTTATGTGATATTCTAAATCTTTTGTTGTATCTCAACAATCTTTACAGCATCTTCATCAGGAGCAAGAAACCACTTTATCTTTGCCCATCCATAAGAAGTAACTCTTCATCCACTAAAGATTTATTGTAAGAGTCAGTTACATCTTCAGGCTCCAGAAAATTTCTAATTTTCTATCTCTTGCTGTTTCCACCAAATCTCCAATTCCTTCCTCCACTAAAGTTTTGAGTCACACAATCACACACACATACACACACACACACAAAGTCACCCATGAAGCTGGAATCAATTTCTTCCAAACTCTTGTGAACACTGATGTTTTGACTTTTTTCCATGAATTGTAAATGTCCTCAATGGTATCTAGGATGAAGAATCCTTTCCAGAAAGTTTTCAATTTACTTTGCCCAGATCCATCTGAAGAATCACTATTTATGGCAGCTATGTATATGCCTTATGAAAAGTATTTCTTAAATAATAAGACTTGAAATTCAGAATTACTGCTTGATCCACGGGCTGCAGAATGGATGCTGTGTTTGCAGCATGAAAACAACATGACTCTTGTTGTACGTGTCCATCAGAGCTCTTGGGTGACCAGGTACATTGTCAATAAGCAGTAATATTTTCAAAGGAGTCTCTTTTACTGAGCAGTAGGACTCAACAGTGGGCTAAAAATAGTCAGTAAACCATACAAATAGATGTCCTATCACCCATGCTTTGTTGTTCCATTGATAGAGCACAGGCAAAGTAGATTTAGCATCATCTTAAGGGCTCTAGGATTTGGGGAATGGTACATGAGCACTGACTTCAATTTAAGAGTCTCCAGCTGCACTAGCCCCTAATTAGAGTCAGCCTGTCCTTCAAAGCTTGAAGCCAGGTATTAACTTCTTTCTAGTTATGAAAGTTCTAGATGGCATCTTCTTTCAGTAGAAAGCTGTTTCATCTACACAGAAAATCTGGTGTTTTGTGTAGCTACCTTCATGAATGATCTTAGCTAGATCTTCTGGAAAACTTGCTGCAGCTTCTACATCAGCACTTGCTGCTTCACCTTGCACTTTGATGTTGCGGAGATGCCTTCTTTCCTTAAACTTCATGAAGCAAACTCTGCTAGCTTCCAACTTTTCTTCTGCCTTCACAGAACGGAAGAGAGTTAGGGCCATGCTCTGGATTAGGCTTTGTCTTAAGAGAATGTTATGGCTGGTTTGATCTTCTATCCAGACCAGTAAAATTTTCTCCATATTAGCCAAAAGGCTGTTTCACCTTATCATCTGTATGTTCACTGGAGAAGCAGATTTAATGTCCTTCTAGAACTTTTCCTTTGTATTCACAACTTGGCTAACTGTTTACACAAGAGGCCTAGCTTTCGGCCTATCTCGGCTTTCCACATGCCTTCCTCACTAAGCTTAAGCATTTCTAGATTTTTATTTAAAATGAGAGACAGTGTGACTCTTCTTTTCACTTCAACACTTAGAGGCCATTGTAGAGTTATTAATAGGCTTAATTTCAATACTGTGTGTCCCTTTGGTCAGGAGGCCTGAGGAGTGGGAGAGAAATGGGGGTTCAGCCAGTCGGTGGATCAGTCAGAGCACACACGTTTATCGATTAAATTTACCATCTTATATGAGCTTGGTTAGTGGCCCGCCAAAATAATTGCAATAGTAACATAAAGATAACTGATCAAAGATCACCATAAAAATATAACAATAATGAAGAAGTTTGAAATATTGCAAGAATTACCAGAATGTGACACAGAGGCAGAAAGTGAGCAAATGCTGTTGGAAAAATGGTGCCAATCGACTTGCTCCAGGTAGTATTGCCACAAACCTTCAGGCTGTAAAAGCCTCGATATCTGCAAAGCACAATAAAATGAGCTAAGCTTGTGTATGATATTAAGATAGGGAATGTTTGCTTTTACTTTCCCCAGAAGCATTTTAGTTTTCACATACCATGAAAATTAGATCTGTAGTCCTTTGTCTAGTTAATTGTTCTGTTCTGAGGGACAAATGGTTGCAGCCTAAAAAAAAAAATCTCCATCAGGCTTATTTACATCAAATTATAGTCACTTTATAATGGTTTTGTCCATTTTCACCGATGATAAAGATGAATAGTGGGATGAGTAGGAAAGAAAAGAATGGGAAAATTTATAAATCTTTATCAACATGACCATTAAAACATGTGATTTATATAGATATGTCAATCCACTTCATGATAATTCAATATATCATCAAGAGTGTACCATTGCGTCAGGTACTAGTATCAAATTACTAATTCACAGGGAAGGAATGTGCAACAATCTAATCTTTTTTCATTAGATTATCATTTTTCCTTAAAAAAAGAAAATGAGTGGAAATTTACTCAAAATATCAATATTTGCTATTGGCAGAGTCAATTATTAGAAATGTCTAATTATGTTGCATGTTCACTATACAAATTCGGCATTTTATGTTAGTTTCAAAAGACTGAGTCTCTTGTCAGATGAAACCACTGATTAATATTTCATTCTTGCCAAAGCTTGTATTCTCAATCGTCTCTTATTTAATTTTTTGGATCTTTGAAATATGTTTTCATATTCCTAGACTGAGTGTTAGTTACATAGCTTTTTAAAAAGCTTAATTCAAGTACAACTACAAAAGAAATTAAAGTCAATTTAAAGTTCATTGTACTTAACTAATTTTTTCAATGACTATGGTGATTATTTGTGGACAATAATTTTATAGGTGTTTTAATGTCAAGAGCTATAATCAATGTCCTTTGTGAAATTATTTAAAAAATCATTGAGAAACAAAATAATCAGAATGATTATTACGTAATATATAATGATAATATAAAGCAGATGGAAAAACCAGTGAAAAATGATCGCTCATACAGAAGAAATTAATAAATAATTAGTTAGCTATATTACTACCACAGTGGGATATACAGTGGCAAGATGCCCAGACAATGCTAAGAAAGAGAATCAGCACCATTTGAATTAAGTTCACTGTATCCCAACATTTTGCTGTATCTTCAACATAATACCTATGCAAAATATTTTTGCATAATTATTACTACTGTTAAAAATATTTCTCTACAGAGACAAGAATGTATTCCACAAATAGAAGTTTCTGTAAGAGACAAGAATGCATTTAGAAGCAAGAGTTTCTATGTGACAACTTATAAATTTAATCATTTATATTTACTATGCCTGGAGTCTTGTAGGCTTTTGACTGGCTTCCAAGCTAGTTCCTACCTTAATCCAATCCAAATTTCTGATTATGTTTGAAAGTATGAGAGCCCATGATTGGGTTAACAAATTGTAACAGACCCCAGCCGCTTGTCTCCTTAAAGAACAAACGTGCTTAGTAACTGCCTTGCAAGTAGGTGCCTGTGCATCCGCACTCCTGTCTCCTTGCTAGTAAAAAGAGAGACAATGCCTTGCTTGCATAGTTGAGGTTTTAGACAGCTCTCTGCTCCTTGCAAAGCAAACACCCAGGCCCTCAGCTATAAACGCTGGGCGTGCCTGCTGTTAGATAGCCTTTTATCCCCAAAACAAGGAACTGGCTGGTCTGGTGGTCCGCTGTAACATATCCATAAGAATGTATCTTGATCCCCTCTCCCCATAACGGCCCTAAAGATAAACAAAGCCTTTGTACTCATTGTGATCTCTACAATCTCGATCCCATCGTGTCCTTCCCTAAATTCCTGCATTCCATCGCACAACTGTCAGTGATTTCTCCTTTGATTGTACACAATAAATGTGGGAGCATTTGAGAGGCTCGTGGAGTTGGCTCCCGACTCCCTCTCACTCTCTTGACTTTTTCCACAGTCTCAAGTAATTCATTCCGTCTCGGTGGGACTTCTGCCGGCCAGAACCCACGTGAAAGATAATAAGCAAATTGGATTTCAGGGGGAAAGTGCAGTTAGCCGCAACTCAGCTTGGTGGCGTTTCAGCATCATTCAGTCAGATCAGGATAACTGGGTTGCAGTTCTGTGAATCCAGGCAGAGAACTCACAGTGTGAAGGGTAACAGTGTATCCTCACATAATCAAAGTCTGTAAGTGTATTACTATTGCCATTATTACTGATAAGGAGAAGAAAATGCAATGAGTACTTGAGAAGAATACTGCATTTTGCAAAATATCCTCAAATGCAACATGTACCAGAGTGAACCACGCTGTGAAGCACTACTAATACATGTTTACATAAATTAAATGTTGGTGGAATTATTTGGACCAGAAAGTCAGAATTAAGCAATTTTATATAATTAATCCAATTCACTGAATTAGAGTTAATTAAAAAATATATTGTTTCAATAAGATGGAACCACATTAGTATTCACTAATTTGGGCATCTTACAAACAGAAAGAAAATAAATACTTGTAAGTCAAGGAGTGTATATCTCTATATTGTCAGATGTCTTTCCTATAAGTGAACAAAGATCCCTTCTTCTAAAATAAGGGCAACAGTCTTCACCAAGTCTGGGATTTAATTTCAGTTGCTTTTTACTAAGGTATGTTGATCTAAATATTCTCAGTATTTTCTTCTTGACAAAGTTTAGATTTTTAAACTTAAAGAATTTTTTTTTGGACAAAGGGTATGTCAAAATATATAAAATCAAGTTATTTAGATGCATGGATCAGAAGCCTGAAAACTAGAATAATGAAGTGCACACAATAAAGTCTATGGCAAAACTGAAATGAAAACTTAGTACAATAAAAGGCTAATTAGAAAAGGGTTCAGAAACTACAAAGCCATTATATTAAAGTAGAATATGGAATAAAACTTATGGGTGACTAGAGTACATAGTTACATCTGCTACTCAAGATACCATCTTCATAAGATGTTTTTTGAGTCAAAATCAGAAGGAATGAGTGGAATTTTACCTTTGGACTTAGCACTTGGCCTTTGATGGAACCTAAGTAATTTATTCTAGTTTCATTTCATATTGTCATTGGTACTAAAACACTTTTTTGCCATTACAGGATCAC